GCCAGGCCAGAGTGCAGTAGTGCGCTCTTGGCTCTCTGCGATCTCTACCTCCCACGTTCAAGCAATTCTCCTGCCTCAGCCTCCCAAGTAGCTGGGATTACAGGCATGTGCCACCACACCTGGCTAATTTTTGTATTTTTAGTAGAGGCACAGTTTTAGCATGTTGGCCAGGTTGGTCTCAAACTCTTGACCTTAGGTAATCCTCCTGCCTCGGCCTTTCAAAGTGCTGGGATTATAGCATGAGCCATCGCGCCCGGCCCTACTTCTGGTTTTCATTTGCCCTCTTGCACTCCCCTCTCCAGGCAAGTGAAGGACAGTTTTCAGTTCACCCATCTAGAAATGATAGGAATTCACTCTGAGGATATGATAGGAATGAGCTCTGAGGCTCAGGTGACAGCATCACCTTCATGACACATGAAAGCCACGCATTTGCTGTTTCCCTTCTCTGCTTATCCGTCAGAGGCTGGTTGGTGCTGGAGCTGTCCCCACGCATCTCTGGGCGCTTGTTCTCCCTGGGGGTTGGGGTTCCTCACCTGCACCCTTGCTGCTTTGCTGCCACTGAGTCCCTTCCTTGTGCAAGAAAGGAGATGAGAAGTCTCCTACAGGCTGTCCCAGTCCAGCCCTGTGCTCCCCATGAGGACCACTGCCACAGCTTCCTGATTGATACCCAGCCTCTATCTCTTTCCTATGCCAATGTAAATGAGACGGCTGCCTTCAGCCTGCCCCAGTAAAACCTTTCAGCCTTCCAAAAGGTTTGAAATAACAATTTATAACTTTCCCTAATATTTTCCAAAATATTTTGCCAGCCACCCCAAGTGAATTCCAACAAGTTTTAGAAAATATGATTGTATCGAGCAATTGAAGCAGATACCCCAAAACATGAACAAAGTGCTGACCACTCCACCCAGTGGTGAAACTTCACGTGACCCAGTGGGCCTCATGGGCACCTGCCATTCTTCAGTGTCAGTGAAACTGAAAAGAAATGGCCCAGTGACCAGGGCAGGATAGTGGATTTGGAGGCAAAATGCCTAGGGTGTCCCCAGCTCTTCTATTTACTGGGGAGCTTCGGACAACCAACAATCTCTCTATGCCTCAGTTTTGTTTAAAGAAATGATGTCAGTGTCTACCAGATAGGGTCCTCAGGAGGCCAGAAGGGAATAATTGATGTGTCCCCACCTTCTTGATTGGAGGAGCCAACATGGGCTGCAGCCTCGGCTGCTGTGATTGGGTTGTTGTGTGTCCATCCCCACAAGAGCCAGGCCAGTAGACCAGAACAATAGCTGCCGTGTTCCAGATGCCACTTACCATCCCACTAAGTCCTCATCTCGGTTCCTTCTCACAACCAATCTCCCATTAGACATTGTTATCCCCGTTCCACAGATGAGGAAACTGAGACATGGAGAGATGAATAACAGTTCTCTGCCATCTGGCCAGTACGCAGCAAAATTGTGATCTAACTCAGATCTGTGCAGCTTCATTTTTTTCCCCAAGTAGATCCAGCTTCCTCATGTGTTAAACAAATAAATGAATAAATAAGAAATGAATGAATTCGGTAGATGATGGATGGATGGGCAGATGGATGGATGGGCAGAGGGATGGATGCACTTAAGTGTGGAGAGATCATAGCACTATTTGCAATGTTCCATTTCCCAGGACTTCCCGGGGCAGTCTTGTGCAAGGATGTTCCCCTGTCCTAATCACTTCATTTAAATAGGCCCTCCAGGTTGGTATCTAGCTCAGTCACCTGCTTTCCTCCTTCATGGTTCTAGCCCTGTGTGTCACTGTTGGTTTGTTGAGTATTGATCATTTCCCTTATAGATTTTGAGGTCTACTGGTGAGACCAGGCCCACCTTTACCATCGATACTGAATCTCCAGCATCAGCACAGATCCTGGCATGCAGAGGGCATTTGAGACATATTTTTTAGTCAATGACCAAATGAACCAATGAAGAAGTAGCTGAATGAGGTGGTGAAGGGATGTATGGGTTGTAGAATGAAGGGAGGAAGGAGGGAATACTTGGAGAAGACAAATGTGTCCTCAGGTGTTCCTCAAGAGCCAAACTCTGCTCCCTCAGGGTGCCAAGAGGAACACAAAGCCCATTTCAGGTCTCCAGGAACCATTTATGGAGGGAGCATCAAGGGGTAAATGAAAGACAGAGGTGGGCATCATTCAGCTGAGCCCAGGTAGGAGTGTGTGGGTTGCAGGGCCTGAAGGTGATTATCTGCCCTTTCTCCAGGCATCAGCCCCATGGGCATCACACAGGGTGACTTATTTTCATTGTCAATGGTGATCTATTGGAATCAGTGCTGTAGAGGGTTCATGGCATGCTGCCAAGGCCACACAGGGTCCCTCTCTGAACAGAGTCTCCTCTGAACTTAATTTATCCACATACTCCCTGGATTCTAATTCCCCATGCCTCTCCTCTGCTCCCCGCTGACAACAGGATCTGCATCCTTGAACTTGGTTGATTGGTCTGCATGTGTCCTTCTAAACACACAGTGAGGCTGTTCATTCAATAATCACGTATAGAGTACATACCATATGCTAAGTACCTTTGAGGTAGGTGTTCAAAGCATGTACTCCTTATATTTGGGGAAATCAAGGCACAGAAGGCTAAAGGAACTGGCTCCAGGTCACACAACTAGCAGGCATCTGACTACAGACTTGAGCCAGAGAGTAGGCTTCTGAGTCCTGAGCCTTTGTGAGTTGTTAATATACGTAAATGGTGGTTGCAAAGCCTCCTTCCATTTTTCCTCTTTTCCACTAGGTTCTATTTTATCATATCTGTCTGGCAGCCCCTTCCCTAGTGAGTGGCTCCTGACTGCTGCCTTAGTTTCCCCAGTGTGACCTCATCCCATCCTCCATAAGGGGCTCTCAAATTCCTCCCAACTCCCACCAGCAGACCCAGCCACTGCTCCTTTCAGGCCTGTTAGGGAATTCTTCTGGGACTCAGGGCTCGTCTGTTGGTTGCCACCTTGGCTGATCTCATTCTCATGTGGCTGATGGTTCAATGCTGTCTACAGAGGCCTGGGATGAACTTCTACCTCCTGCTATTTACTGCTGTGTGCCCTGGGATAAGTCACATAATCTCTCTGGAAACAGAGAGCTTGTCTATAAAGTTTCTACTTGTCTATAGAGTGGAGATGAGAGAGGTACTGATCACTCTTAACTGCTCCTGGCACTGAGTAAGAGATTTAGAAGGATTTATTAAACAGCTTAGCACATAGTACGTGCTCAATAAAACCCCTCCTCTGGGATGCATATTCTTGTCACTTGCCCTTGCACCTTGAGGGTGGGGTCCAACCTGGGTCACTCCCATATCCCACATTTGAGACTACCATACAGTAGATGCTTCTGCTGTGTATGGCAAGGACTGGGGAGCCCATGGTGGGGACATTGTTTGGGCTCCAGCCTGCATTCAACCATAGTGGTGGGGCCTTACACTTCCTCCTCTTTGCACCTGGGGTCCCTGCATCCAGCTGTGAGCAGGGCTTCCAGGCATGTTCTGCAGCAGATCTCCCAGGGCAGCTGTAAATAAATTCCAAAGAAGGGCTAGTGGAGGGGGCTCAAGAACATAGGCCAGGCGAGAGCATTCCTCTACCAAACAGTAAGACTGCCTTGACCACAGCCAGATGTACAGAAGATTCCACAGGCTTTATCAGGACCAGGCACCCCAGAGGCCCCCACAGGGGCCATCTGCACCAGATTTACTCACAGTCTATTTGTTTGTCATTTATTTGTCCCATGAACATGGACAGAGCCCGCACTGTACAGGAGGCAAGGTGCCCATTCCCGGATGACTCAGATGCACACAACACATTTCTGCTGAATCAATTCGGCTGCTCTGGAAAGGCAGAGGAGTGTGGGAGTGGGTTCTTCTTAGACTTTCACCTCCCTGCAGTGCAGGCATGGTGGCCCAAGTGAGGCTCCGCCTCTCTTCCTGGGGCCCAGGCAAGAATGGAGGAACCATTGAAGGGGCACCCTCAACACTGGGCCTGCCTAGAGGCCAGAGGGGCCAAAGTGTATCTCTTATGCCTACCTTAAACAGCTGGGTCCACTCTGGGAGGCTGGTGGCACTAGGAAACCCCTGACTGGCTCTCCTTCTTGCCACTCAGGTCCTGAGCCACAGCTTACTTGGGGAGAAACTCACCCACAGCCCCAGCCTCGGCCACAGGTGAGGTCTCCCAAGCCTCCCCAAGAGCTTTGGCATCAGGCTGGCCTCCACTAGAAGGAAACCCTTGCCACATTACATGATAGCGGGGAGATCCTAGAAAGCCACGGTCCTCTCTGAGCCTCAGTCCTCCTCCCTGTAAAATGGAGGTAATGATAATATTGGCATCCTAGGTTGCAATGGGGACTAATTTAGTGCTTAGCTTATAACAGAAGCTGAGCATGGTTACTATTTATTTTCTTCTTTGCGTTTGTGTCACAGGGGCTCAGCCCGCGTTCCCAACCTGGGCCATCTTTATTGCAACCCCCACCTCTGAGTCGTTTCCCTGAAACATGGCTGTGAGCTGGG